TCAAGGGTGTGTTAATGGCTCTGCATGATCTTTTGATCTCTCCTTGTGCACCAGTGAGCACTTCAATTGCTCCCAACTTGACCATGGCTTGTCCAAATCGAGTCAAAAAATCAAACCCTTTAGCAATGGCTGCAACTGCGGGGTTGGTTAATGGATCAAGGGCTAGTTCTTGATCAATTTGGAGAATTCCTCTGTGTAAAATGATTTGTCTGTAGTAAGAATTGTCTACGGTCATTGAGCTCAAAGGGTTTTGATCAAGATTAACTGGGTTATCAACAGTTGAATTCTGAGGGCATCTCGTTTTTAGTGTGTTTAGCAGTGTGGAATCCATGGTTGGATCAGGTTTGCCCGTGTTTTGGAAGTTGTAGAGACGATCTTGAAAGAGCAAACAATGAGCGACTCCGACCGTGTGGCCACCTGTGAAGTCAATTAATATTTCTTGGTCATTAGCCTTAATTGGAAAGAACAATTACGATGGAAGCACTCTATTGGGTGGACACTAATATTGAGAGTCGAAAGCTATGAGAGAGAATGTATTATTTGAAATAAGAACAAGGTCCATAGTTCTGTGTAGCCAGCGTAAAACCCTAATAAACAGATATTACTCAATACTCTATTTATATTTTTGCATAATTAGTGCTTGTTTGGCTAGTTTAAATTTATAATTACTTGAACACACATTTCGTACGATTTGCAACTACTACTCATATTTTGTGGGACCTGCTTAAATTATAGTTTAAGCTCTCTAAATAAGCACTTATCCCCTACTCGATATATATTAAAATTTGATAAAAAATTTAAGTCAAAATCAACAATTAATTTTAATCACACATTTCATGGGATATATGACTTTTCAACCATATGTTTCTTCAGCTTTTATCAAAATATACTCCTTATGTTGTCCTATACTAAGTTTAGAAAATTAAAGTAATATTATCAAAAAATTAGAAATCCAAAAATACAATTAAGAAAAGAATATTTCTTAATAAAATATAATTACGAAAAAAGAAAAAAGAAAGCAATATAATCATATATATAAGTAATGGCATGATGAGAAATTTATGCTTAGAGGTAAAGGAGCGGTGAAGTACCAAGAAGATAGACCATATCAGTAGAATCAAGTCCTTTATTGGAAAAAGCTTTAATAGAATCTGATACTGATATTGAAGGAGTTGACAGAGTCACAGTCTTAGCAAGAGACACTGTTCCATCTCTT